AGGGCTCTTATGAATAAAGCTGTTATGAACATTCTTGCCCAAGACTTCTGAAGACATAATTTCAATTTTCCTGGATAAATATCATACAAGGAGTAGAATTTCCACCAGGAAGTGAAATTTCTTGTCATAGAACAGGCATAGGTTTTACTGTATGAGAAACTGACAAAAATATTCTTCAAACGGTTTATAATTTTCTTTTCCCACTAGAAATTTAAGAGAATGTCTCACCAATACTTGGTACTATCAGTTTTTCAAATTATAGTCATTGCAGTGCGTATAAAATGATACCTCTTTGTGATTTTAATTTGCATTTCCTTGATGACTACTGATATGGTTTATTGATAATTCCTACACCTTCTCTTGTGAATTGATTTTTCAAGATCTTTAAATATTTTTAAAATTGGGTTATTTGGCCCCAGCTGGTGTAGCTCAGGGGATTGAGTGTCAGCCCTCAAACCAAAAGGTCGCTAGTTCTATTCTCAGTCAGGGCACATGCCTGGGTTGCATGCCAGTCCCCAGCAGGGGACGCAGGAGTGGCAACCACACACTGATGTTTCTCTCCCTCACTGTCTCCCTCCCTCTCTCTCTAAAAATAAATAAATAAAATCTTTTAAAAAATAAAATAAAATTCAGTTATTTGCTTTTTTACTATTGAGTTCTTTATATGTTCTTTATATGTTTCTGGATATAATCAAGTCCTTTGTCATAAATATACTTCAAAAATATTTTCTCCCACTCTATGATATGACTATTCATTTTCTTAACAATGTCTTTTGATCAGAAGTTTTTAGTTTTGATGAAGTCCAATTATTATGGACTGCATGCTCATGCCCTTCCCCCTGCAAATTCATATGTTTAAACTCTAACTTCCAGTGTGATGTTATTTGTAGGTAGGGTCTTCAGGAAGTAATTAGGTCATGAGGGTAAAGCAGTTATGATGGGATTAGTACCTTTATAAGAAGAGACAAGAGAAAGCTTACCTCTATCTCTATCTCTGTCCCTATCTCTGTCTTCTGCCCTCCTTCTCTCTCCCCTTCCCCACAGGTGAAGAAGTGAGAAGGCAGCTGTCTATATGCTGTCTAACCAGACACCAGATCTACTAGAGCCTTGATCTTGAACTTTCCAGCCTTCCCTGTGAGAAGTAAATGTTTGTTGTTCAGGCCACCCACTCTATAGTATTTTTGTTATAGCAGCCTGAACTTTTTAAGATTACTACTATTTGTGTTCTAAGAAATCTCTGCTCACTCCAAGTTATGAAGATATTACCCTATGTTTACTTATGGATGCTTTATAGGTTTATGATCTGCTTTTAATTAATTGTTGTAGATAGCGTGAGGAGGGAGTCATGTTCATACCCCCCCACATATGCATATCCAGATGTTTCAGCAATACCTACTGAGAAGACTAGCCTTTCCCCCTTTGCTATAAATCGGTTGACTATATATGTCTATTTCTGGACTTTATTCCATTATATTAAGCTATTTGTTTATCCTTAGACCATTATCACACTCCCTTGATTACTGTATGTTTAAAGTATATCTGATATCAGATATAATAAGTTTCTCAATTTTGTTATTTTTTTCAAAGTGGTTATTAACTCTTCTAAACACTGCATTCCTGTGTAAATTTAAGAATAAACATCTCAGTTTTTAAAAACTGGTTGCTCCAAATTCTATGGCAATGGCCTTGAATCTGTTGATACTTTGGATAGAATGAACTCTTATCAAATATTGAGTTATCCAATTTATGAACATAGCATATCTTACCATTTAGTTATTTTTTCTCATAATATTTTGCTGCTTTCAACATAGCTCTTATACCTTTTTACATATTAAATTTATTCAAAATTATTTTATAATTTTTGATTTTATAACTAGTATTTTATTTAAATTTATTAAATACTTACTGGTAGTATGTAAAAATAGAATATTTATTGGTATATTGACTTCAGCTATAATCATGTTTACTTACTTATTCTTTCTAGTACTTTCTTGGTTAAATTTTTTAGGCTTTTCAACATCAACAATCATGTTGTCTACAAATAAAAACAGGTTTTTCCTGTTTTTATCTTCTCCCTTTCTAATCTTTGGTCTTTTGTTTCTTCTTCTTTGTTTAGTTCATTTGCTAAGACCTCTGTTACAATGTTTTTTAAAAAGTGGTAAAAGGAAATATTCTTGCTTTGTTCACAATCTAATTGAAAAATGTTCAATATCTGTTAGGTAAAACGTTAACTAAAGGTTTATCCTCCTGACTTATACAATGCAAAGTGTCCTGAAATGAACAGCTGTATCAGTGTGGATTTGACCCAGTGTTGTTCCCCTTTCCAAGGTTTGAAAGTCTACTTTGTGTTGCTCTCCAAGGTCTTTACACATCTTGACATATATAATTAATCTTAGCAATATTAGTACAATGCAAGCTACTCCAACTATTAATGAAAACTTCCACTGAATATTTAATTTCAATATTATGTTCTTAATTTCTTAATAGAAGTTTTATTTGTTAGTTTTTTTCTAAGTGTGTTGGGTCTTTTTTGAGACTCTGCTCCTTATTCATTTGTTATTCCCACTGTTATTTTGTTTAAAGATTTAATTTATTTATTTTTAGAGAGAGGAGGAGGGAAGAAGAGAGGAAGAGAAACATCAATGTGTGAGAGACTCATCGATCAATTGCCTCTCCCACGTCTCCAACCAGGGCCCTGCCCTGCAACCCAGACATGTGCCCTGACTGGGAATTGAACCAATGACCCTTCACAGACTAGCATTCAATCCACTGAGCCATAGCAGCCAGGGCGCTCTCTGTTATTTTTAAAAGATATTAGATGTATTTATTTTATATTCTTCATCTGATTATTCCAATATTGAGACATTTATGTGCAGGCTAAATAATGTTTATGCTTTTTCCCTTATTTTAAAATTTATGTTTAAATGTGAACTCATGTTCCCTGAAACTTTATCTCTCAGAGTTCTTTGTGCCCCGAGTTGAGAGTATATTCTTCCTGGGAGAATATACATTGATTCTTGGAAACTTGGGCATGCCACTAACATGGATCCATTTTCATTTAAATACTTGCTTAAGTATTTCCATCCCTGAAGACTGGGCACCCAACCTCCGTGAAGACCAGCCTGTGGCCAAGAATTCTTACAAAAGACTCTTCCATTCCTCTACCAAAAGCCCAATAATGAGAAAAGCATGCTTTCTTGCATTTACTCTGTCTTTATATGTCAGATAATCTTTTCTTGTTTTCTATTTCCTTGAGAGTGTAATATGTGTGATTCCCGTCTTTGCGCAATATTCTCTGTTTCAGTTTCCTGCACCACCCTGGTCCAAAACGTGGACTCCTGTTCCCAGAGGGTGCACCTAATAAAATCAAGCCTCTCGGCCACCTAGGATTGGTGGGTGCCCACAAGGGACCAGCCTCAGTGTTTGAATTCCATCCTATGCAACTGCTCAAGCTTGGTTCTTAGCCACAGGAGAATCCCAATGCTGCTTTATAAACTGAGCCATGCATGTAATATTGTCTTTTGCATTTCATCCAGTATTTTTAGACATTTTGTAGTGAGAAGATTTCAGAATATCTAGTTTAATACATAGCTAGAAATGGAAATAGCCAATGTTCACCTTTTAATCTCTAAAGGCTTTAGTTATTGACCTTCATTTAGCTGCTTGACAAGTGAGTGAGCAGGATGGATAGCAATGACTAACAAGAGACACTGACCTCTATGACTACAAATACTAAATATGCTTTTTAATGTTTTAAAAACAGCTCTGAAAAAAAAAAAAAGAAATGAATCGAACAGATATCTGCATCCCACATGAAGGTTTTACTTCAGGAAGATGCCAATGGATTTCCCTAAAGAGCTGCGGGAGGCACAGCCAATGAAGGAATTGTGAAGAGGCATGATTGGGGCCTTGTGTAAAAATCTCACCAATTCTCAAAGCCGTCTTTCATGGATAAGATAAAGCTTGAATGGATCAAAATGTTTCTTGGAAGTTAGCCAGATTTCACATGAAAAGACTTTTATTTTACTCCTTCACTAGGAAGAGAAATCGCTTAGCAATTACACATAATAAATTTGATTCCTAACACTAAATTATATACTGCGACATGTGGATGAGAAAATCTATCTTGTCAATTGTTAAATATATTAATTCCAAAATGTTTAGCACAGTAGCTTCGCAAACAGTCAACTACTCATTACATAGCAGCTATTATTATGTCCATATGTAAAAGTTCTGATGTGAGAAACTTTTAATATTGTTGTAAATGTTAAGCTCAGAGATTGTTTGATGTCCTTGAGATACTGACAAAATGGACTCAGGAAAACTCAGCCAGGTCCTTCGCCCTGACGGTTCCCTTCTGAGGTCCAAAGTGCCTCGGTTTCTCCTAAATTATGACCGCCCAGTTCTACTACTGTTTCTCATTGAAAGCAGTCTGTGTGACTGTGGCATCTGTTTCTTTAGTGTTACATGAAAGGGGGTTTATGTTAGGCATTCGAGGATTACAAAGATGGATAGCAAGACAAGTCTCTGTCTCCAAGGAGCCTGTAGTTTAGCGCTGTGATTCTCAACTCTGGTTGTACTTTACAAGATTTCAAAAAAAACTACCAACATTCATACTTGTGTCTTTTCTCCCCATAAAGACAGTGAATATCTCAAGCAGGAGCCATATACTCTTCTTTCCTTATCCCTCAAAGCCAGTCTCTACATGTAACAGAAATCTATTAAAACCAAGTTAAAATTACTGAACAGAAATACTAGCAAAATCCATTTTTAAAGGCATTCTATTATATGAATTCCCTAATAGGAGTCACAAATATGGTGGAAACATTAGATTCCTAGGCCAAAGAAAAAGGTGCTTGTAACACTGCTCCCTGTGTTTCAAAGGCCTTATCTCCCAAAGTGGAAATAACAGATGTACCAAAAGTAAAAGAAAATTGCGACTATAATGCAACTTTGTGTTTGGAAATATATGATACTGTAAGGCAGAGAATTTGTCTTACCAATTTCAGATATCCCTCAGCATCTAGAATTAAATTTTCTGGCTTCAGGTCTCTGTAGATAATACCTAGTCGATGCAGGTAATCAAATGCTTCAGTCACACAAGCAACGCAGAACTTGGAGGTGTGTTCATCAAAACTGCCTCTGCAATTAAATCACATTCCCTCTTAATACTCAAGAAATACATCTTTGTTGTCTGTGTTGGTAAATTTATGCAACAGAAGTGTTTTGTAGGACAGCAACATGAAAAAGTGGTTAATGTTGCCAATGAGTCAGACGGCTGATCATAAAAAAATTGAGGGGGATATTGATGTAAACAAGAACTACTTCACTAAAATTAAAATGTCCACATCCAAACAATTGTTTCTGTTAATTACATATGAACATATAAAATAGAAAAATAGGAAAACATTTTTAGACATTTATGGAGATATGCAACGCTGGAGAAAATGCAACTATTTCCATGGCAAGCTTGAACCAGACATCTGTAATTGATAGTTTGACTAAAAAAAATGACTTGTGATAATTTTCATTTCCTCTTTGTAAAGCATGTAACCCCAACTCCTTCCTATCTGGTGCACCTTCATGATATGAGAGTTGCCCTCTGTCAGCAATGAGTGTGTTCAGGTACTGAATTGTTAAGATGTGATTGTGATTTGCTACATGGTGTAATAGGAGGATGTGCCTTTTGGGTGAAAGAGACTGGCCTTGACTCCTGCTGTTTCCACTCACTGATCCTTGTACAAGTTTTTTTAGCTGTTCTAAGCCTGCTACAGATTCCTATCTATAAAACAGATTTAATAGTTACTTAATATTGTTGTTTCGAGGATTAAGCGCAGTGCCTAACAGGAAGTAGAAATTCCCTCTTTTAAACAGATTTTCATTTTCTAAAGAGATTTGCCTGTTGAAACAAGGATGGAAGATGCAAACGCTTTTGCAGGTGTCATGCAAATCTCCTCATCTTTCCAGGTTCTCTGCATTCAGATCCATCCAACAATATGTTCCTAACACAGCCCATTCATCTTCTACTCAGATGCGCAATGGTCTCTTATTGCCCAGGTGTGTGATGCTCAACCATGAACGCCATTAGAATTGCCTGAGAAGCATTAAAATTCCCTTATTGGACCCTATCCCAGATGAACTGAATCCTAATCTTTACTGTTAGGGCTCAGCCTTTTTGCTTTGTAAAAGATTCCTATGTGATTGTAATGTGTTGTCAGGGTTAAGAACCATGGCCCAGGTAACACTGTCTAAATGCCTAGCATTAACCCCCATAACCTAGTGCAAACCTACCTTTCCATCTCCTCTTCTGCTGCCCTGGTCTTCTACTCAAATCCTGCTGTTCATCATCCACAGAGACCTAATCCTATCCACACATTCCACTGTATCTCACGTCAGTTTCCCTTCCTCTCTGCCTTTCCACATTTGGTCATCTTTAGAGTTTAGTTAAAGTCCTTCCTCTCCTCCAAGCGTGCTATCTACCACACTCAACTGGCATTCAACTACAAACTGCCAACTTCTTTGTTATATATAGTTTTCACATTAAATAAAGAAATGTTTTTAAATTCCATGCACTATCTCCCAAATAAATTCAAAACTCGTTGGAGGAAACGATCACATTTTTTACTCTTTTGGTTCGAAAAGTCTGTACTGCCTAGAAAACCCCAGCCTGTCTACTAGGGAGCCCTGTGCACAGGTGGTGCTCAGCAAAAATCAGTGTTTTTGGCTGTGTGGAAGCCACCCCTTTTATAAAACTGAATCTTTGCAGATATCTTACTCTGGTTTCAGAAAAGGCTTCACCACCCCCTACCTTTCTTCATTTCCCTTCTAGAGCTTCACAGTCAGAAGCATCCGGGTTTGTATCTACTGACTCATAATAAATACGTTATGCTAGATAGCTCATACTGTCCCTAAGCCTGGGATTTGTTAATCCCTAATATGGGAATAACCATAATGGCCTTACAGGGTGCCTATGACATGATTATAATGTTGGCTAAGAAAATATCACTATTTTATTTTATCAAGTGATAATATTTTCTTAGAATCATATCTCAGCTTCTTCCTTCATGTCTCTTCAAATGATCATGAACATAGTAGGCTTCCGGGGTGACCAACCCACAATCCATGGACTGTATGCGGCCCTGGATTGCTATGAATGCAGCCCAACACAAAATCATAGATTTACTTAAAACCTTTTATTTGCTCATCGGTTTTCAGTAGTGTTTGTGTATTTAATGTGTGGCCCAAGGCACCTCTTCTCCCAGTGTGGCCCAGAGATGCCTAAAGGTTGGACACCCCTGCGAGTAGTCAAAAGTTATTAATTATAATCTTTTTTCATTACCTGTCTCTTAATATACTCCATAGCTCCCCACCTAAGCAGGCTTCCAGAAGCATGTATACATACTTATTGTCCTTGAAAGTACGATACAATCTGTGAAGACAGATAAAAATATGGTTATTATTGTAAGTCTAGTTTTCAAACCTTTCTAAGTTACTTAAAGGGTATTACCAATCACATTTTAAACACTGGTCCTCTTCTGCTACCAAACATCTTACAGCTACACTGTGCTTCTACCTGAGTCCTCTGTGATCTTCCCTCCTGCTTTGCTTTAGCTCATGTTGGACCCTTTACTTAGACTGTCCTCCCCCTACCCACAACTTCTTAATCTCAGCTTCACTCCTCAAGGCCAAGCTCCCTGATAAACCAGCTCTTTATCCCATCTACCAAACATGGCCTCTCCACCTCTAAACCCCCAGAGACCTCTGCATATATCTCTTTTAACAGCTATTCATGCTCATGTCTTATGTCCTTTGGTAGGTTTTAGGAAATAGACTCTGAAACTGGTTTGTAAGAAGTTTAGTGGGAAGCATACTTGTTAACAGTACCCATGAGACAGGAATAAATAGATTTGGACAGAGGGAGAGTTGGGCTATAATCTAGTTTCAACAAAAGCCTCAGCTTCAAGGAGCTCTGCTATCACTGGATGTGGGATGGACCTGGAGGGAGAGCATGAACTTGGACAAGAGGGTTCTCTTTTCCTAAGCAATGGTGAGATTGGAACTGAGCCAGAGTCCTCAGTTGGCAGCACACTCAGAATCACAGCCTCAATCCTGATATGGGACACGGGCAGGGCACCACATTTCTACACTAGGTGAAAGTAGTCTCTGGGCCTTAAGCAAAAGACCCCCTTTTCTCTCTAGCACCATGCCCAGGCTACAGCAGACCGTAGAGCAGCCAATCACATCCAGACAGCAGAAACTATCTGGTACCGTGATTCAGTGTTGGCTCTGGAACCAGCTGCGTAGGCTTGAGTCCCTGATCAGTAACTCATAACATAACATTTACCTCACTGTTCTATTATGAAGATCAAATGAATATATGTATTTATTTGTTTACATATTTATTAGATATTGACTATGTATCAACTTAATATATTCATATCTATATACTGTATATAAATATAACTTTTTGAATAAATATATTTTTATATGTATGTAAAATATATATATTGCTTAGAAGAGTGACAGACACATGTTAATTTCTCAATAAATGTTGTCATTAATATTTACTTTTAATATCATTACAACCTTACTATATGCCAGAACTTCATAAAGAGCTGGAAATGAGGAAATAGATAAAACCTAACCCATGCACTGAAGCTGTCCATCATAGTTAGTGAAAGCATTATTGATTAAAAAAAGAATGGGATGTGCTTTTAGAACACAGTTAATATCAGGATAACTGGATGACCCTATTCCCAGAATTGCCTGGGGTCACACTTCCTTTTTAATAGTGAAAAAAAATCGGGAAAATGGGTTGGCAAAAAGACTCTTTCAAGGCATTTGACCTTAAAGTATAAATTTTATTCCTTGAAAGAGCACTTTACATCACCTATAAGTCACTAATGCCATATAAGAAAATACAAACCCATTTACATCACTAACCCATGAATTCATAAGTAAAGACAGCCATGGCCTAGAAGAGAATAACAAATTCTCTTCCTGGCTCTGGTGATAGCAAGAGACAGAACAGTAACTCTCAGGAGGTGGAACTCTCGGCCTCTAGGCATCGCAAGAACCACAGTCTGTTGCTCCTTGGCCCAAATGCCACATCTTGCAGAAACTCAAAAACAGCAGGCTCCCTAAGGGGTTTCCAATGAATTCTTGCTTCCCAAGTTCTGAATTAATTTTATACACACATATGCACACACTTTTCTGACATTTACTTAAGACTAAAAAGATCTACGTGCTTGACTTCAGATCTCAAATTTCTAACATTTTATGTGTTGTGGCTGTGACTGGGATGAAGAATGCCAAGTGCAGCCTTCTCTTCCTCCTCTGTCCATCCTCTTACATGGAAACATTCACAGAAAGAGACTAAAACCCTAAGTTTTGGAAGCCAAATGTGACTTACTTCACAATGAAAGGAGAACACAACTCTTCCAGAATCCTCTTCTCTGAGTAGACATGCTCCTGTTGCTTCGTATCAACTATATGCTTCTTCCTTATACACTTCATAGCAAAAGCAACATTCTCATTTTTCACTTTAACCTATGTAAGAAGAAAAAGATCCCTTAAAATTCACTTACTAGGAAAGACTGACAACATCTGTATAAAACATATTAACTAATGAGGGTTAAAATTTTCACATTAAAATAGTATGTAAGTTTTAACTACTTATCCTTCTGGCAACTGAGTTTTATTCAGGGGTACACACTTCCCCTTTATTGAAATTTCCAAAAGAGTTCACATATCTGGAACATGGTTCTAAAATGTTTGCAGTGAAACAGAAAGAGAAAAACTCTAGTTAAAAGGTTTAATGTTTAGAAATCTATTCAATTTTGAAGGTGAAATGACAAGCTTTGACTGGAACTGCCAAAAAGTATTCATTCTTCTTTGATTTTTCAAAACAAACGATATTAAATTAAGACCTATATTGGCTCTATCCAATGTCATAGCCACTATTTGCATGAGGTTATTTAATTTTCAATTAAGTAAAAATCAAAATTCAGTTCCTCAGTTGCACTAGCCACGTTTCAAAAGCTCAACTGCCACCTCTAGCTAGTGGCTCCCCTATTGGCAAAAGATATAGGACATTTCGATCAGTGCAGAAAGTTCTAGTGGAGGGCAATACTCTGGATGGACAGACAGAATTTTCCCTTAAAAACAATTTTTTAAAATATTCATAGGTATTCAGATAGGCTTAAAACTCCGTAGGCAGACTACATTTGACAAGTAATAAAATTGTGCAGAAATGATTGCATCCTGTATTTTTCTCAGGTTTGCCATTACTGCTGCCTAAGACTTTTAAATTAATGTTGAAATTACTGATTCAGTTATAATTTTCTATAGAAAGAAACAGACCTTAGCATTATTCATTCAGTCCTGTTGCCGAGATCTCTGGTGAACCCTATCACTGCAGATGGACATTGCTCTCCCCTCTCCATATGACACGGAAACACTACAGTCTTTGGCCTATTAAGAAACCAGCTCTCCCCCACCTCACTCATCAGAGGTGAAGTATTGACTCATGTGAAGTGTACTATCCAGGTTCTCATGGCAACATTTCAGATCTGCTCGTGCCCAGGGCCATCCAGCAGATGGAGTGTCAGCATGGTTTCCAGAGGCTAATGTACAGAGATTTGTTAAAAATCTACTGGGAAGAGAAGGGCTTGGTAATTGCCAAGGGTTCAGAACCATCAGTATCTAACAGGTTCACAGATCTCCATTCTATAGCTTCCTCCGAGCACTTGATCTGACGAAAGCAGTCCGCTCCTCCTTGGAAGCTGGTCTTAAAGTTGAGAGAGGCAGCCATGTGGAAGATGAAGCCAAAATCAGGCCACACAGCCCCAGCTGTCCTGATCAGAGCTACAGAAGGCTGCTCTCCAAACATTCCCTTGCATTCACCTTCTTTTCTTTTTTACTGATAAAGAACTTTGAGCAACCCAAAAATAGAAAAACAAAAGCCAAAAACAGACATGGTGGTGAAGTTGTTTAAGAAATGGAAATACATATAATATTGAAGATTTCGTTTCTATGGCATTTGCACAGGACACATTCTTCTTTAGTATATAGACAGTGAATGTGTCATGAGTGTATGCATACACATATTTTGCTGTTAAGAAATATATATTTTAAGGTTTAACAGTCTTTAGGAATGCTTACTTTGTACATTCTTCAATAAATACCATCTTGAAAAAAATTCACAAAAGCATGTGATGTAAGAAGCTTGAAACAGCAGCTATAACTTACTCATTAGTACAGACCTGCTACTATACAACAAACAGACTGAAAAGTATACTTTCTCAATTCAAAGCAACATTTAAGATAGCAATAACAATTCATACATTCCTCCAAGACATACTGTAATATAAAACAAAATATAAGTCAAAGGCTTCTCTCAGATGCTTGAAACGTAAACCCCTTACAAGCTCAACTCTTCCGAACCCACCAACGCCCAGTGTTGCGATAATCTCAAGGTTCTGGAATGGGGATGAAGAGGAAAATCTGGCCACCTTCTCCTTCAGCTGAATCATCTCCAGAGAGAGAGCTTTGGACAGCTTTCGGTTAGACATGGATCTCCTGTTGAAGAGAAGGGACACTTTACACACAGCTCCTTAGCCAAGCCGGGGCCATGCCACACATAACTTCCACACCTCCAACAGCCTTATTTCTGAGTAATGACTGCCTACATTTGCCACCAAGGTTATTTCAACTTTTATTGGAACAGATTCAGTCGCATCAGGGGATTAAAAAAATAGAACATACAAACAAAACCTGGCATGCACGCACACAATGAGAAATAGACAAATATCAAATGGAATCAATGAGAGGTAAAAATTAGTGAATTGTGTGGTATTTAAAATATATCTCAATAAAGCTGTTAAAAATAAAAGAGCCAGTGAGAGGAAATAAAACCCAAGAGCCATTTTCTTTGTTGCATAAGCCAGAGAATGCCACACTGAGAATCATGCCGTGTTTTGCTATTTTTGTCAGACCTTGAAGGTTTCTATGACTGAACCAAAGTAACTATGCTGTGAGAGATAAAAATTGTATTTCCTCCTTTACATCTAACTATTGTTATTTGGAAATACTAATTTTCTTTTTTATTTAAGGTTTACTCTTCCGTATTGCACATTCATAAATCGTTTTTATGATGAAAGGTTTTTGGCATTAAAGTTGAAAATACATTCCTTGCTAAAAAGAAAAAGAAAAATCTTATAAGGTCCTGATCGAATGCTCAAATTTAACTTAAATGTCAGTTTTCTAGAACTTTTGGCTTTTTACCTTCAATTGTACTATCTGTTGAATATATACCTAAGTGTTCACTCTACAAAATATTTCAGCAAAAGATTTTCAAATAATTTTAATTTTACAAAGTAAATTTTTCTATTAAACAGAAAATTTCTTATCAGTATTACTACATTTAGAGTCCTACCCAACTCCTTCCTACACACAAACACACACCCTCCTGGGCAATAGCTCCCTTATATTTTGAAATAGTTCTGACTATCCCACTAGTTTTTAACCTGAAATCAGAGTGAATGGGCTACTCTAATGCCTTGGCATCCTGTTTGATTTCCAAGGGCAATAGAAACAGTGCTTCTGAATTACTGTCCTTTTGAGTTAAGTCAACAGACAATATGAAGAATCCCTTTCCAAGGCCCATCATCAGAAAATTTCTCCTCACCGTTACTACTCATTACCCCAAATAAGGAGCTGACAACTTACAGACTAAAACAATCACAGTAGTGGTAAGTGGTATCTCTTTGTAGAAGACAATTTAAAAGAATCCCCCACCCCCGCCAATTTTCTAGTGAAGGCACACTAAAAGCTACGGCAATAGTAAGTCACATCCCTTTGTCCCCTTCTTCAGCAACTGCTGTAATCATATCCAGCTTAGGTAAATATTCCCCCACTTACTTCGCATGTCTTTTTTCATCATCACGGGTCAGGTTTGCCACATAGCCTTCAAGGTATTTTTGGAGTTCTTCAAAAGTCCCAACTGTCTGGTTGAATGTTCTAAATGAACAAAATAAAAGTAAATTAAAAGCTCTGTGCTGATAGTTACTATTGCAACTTGATATTCCTCTTAAGCTTGTTAAAGGCTATTTCTATGGTTATTCAAGGCTTTATAAATTGTTTTCAATAATTTATGTATGTTAGTGTCACCATAATATGTAGAAGTTATTCAAAGTTATATAGTGAATCCTTCAAGTTTATGAAAGCAAAGAAGCTATCAGTGAGAAGAGACAACATTTCTGTTTTCTGCCTTGCAGTTCAGGTTTACTGAGTCTTTTTGTTTTGTTTTGTTTTTGTTTTTGTGGTTTTTAAGAAGACAGTGGAAAGGAAACAGTCTACAGATTGCTTCTCTTACTGAACACATACTATAGGAGCCAAATGGCACGGTGTAAAGAAGGTTGAAAGAAATGGAGAGACCTGGGCAGGAGTCCCTATTCCACCACAGATGGTGCTGTTGGAGCAATTCTTCAACTGGTTTGGGATTCGCTTTTCTTATCTGGAAGAGATTATTCTATGTGTGGATGTTAACTAGACATATTGTGGTGATCATTTCACAATACATACATACATTGAATCACTATGTTGTATACCTGACACTAATATAATGTTATGTCATTTATATCTTAATAAAAAATAGTAAATAAAAAAGAATTAACTTTTTAGGTATGTTAAGGTTATTGTGGTCATGCATTATAAATAATACTTAGTTTTTAGATATGCTACTAAAATTTACAGGTGAAATAACTTTATGTGTGTGATATGCTTGAAAATAGTGTGGAAAAAAATTGGGAGAGGTGGTAAAGTGGTATACATAAGGCATTGATACGTCATTGTTGAACTTGCACTATGAGGTTCATATAACAACATTTTTAAAAGATTTGAAATTTTCCATAAAAAAAAGATTTTTAAGTGTTCTAAAGTTCTTTCCATCTCTAAAGCTCTATGATTCTATATTCAATATATGTTGTATTCAATTAGCAATCAACTACATACTCCCTTGTGCTACTTCTTGTTATTATTTTTTGTTAATATTTCACAAGGATACCCTATTTCTTTGACTACACTATGACTTTTCTTAGAGAATAACCTGGCTTCGATATGTTTGAATTTCCTTTATTATAACTAGATAATATTCAACTGATTAGTAAGATATACAAGGAATCAAATTCACATATAATTTGAAGTGAGTTAAGGACATAAAATAAGATTTATTCTTAAAAATAACCTAAGACATTTAGAGATTAATATACATACATCACTTGCAAATTATTACAAGTGTTAAATTAAAACTTCTCTAAAATATATATGTAGCTGATGAGTATTTTATATTTTGTCTGTGAAAGATAAACTGTTAAAAATTTTTTAGACTGCTTAGAGCATTTTAGAAATAAATTATGAAATTGTTAATTATATTATATGGGAAAAATCTATGAGTAGAAATAAGCTTATTTCTCTGGAAGATGGAGAATTTAAATTTATTGCTGATATTTATGTACAAACTTTACACACAAAATATTGAGTCTGCCAGCATCTGCCACTGCCAAAGACAGATTCAGATCAGAAGGCCCAGTTCCTTCCCATGAATTTTAATAGAATATACTCTCAGCTGAAGATTGGCCAGCATTTCCAAGTGGTGATGAATGAGAAGACAGATGGGCCCTTGAACAACAGAAGGCGGCATCTTCAAAGGTGACAGTAGCCTGCCTTCTCCAACAGTATCGGTATACTCACTCTCGATCTATTACGAGGCATGCGACATCATTTTCTTCAGCGATAATGTTAGCTGATCTGACATCTTCACTGCATACAAAAACAGCAAAGTCAATTTTCTACAATTAGAAATTAAATACCTATTTTTATTGGGAAATGTGCTACTTTGTACAGTATCATCACTTCGATATTCCAAATACTATGCTTTTTTTTTTTTTTGTTAACATCATAGGCTACACTCCCTCCTTTTCCAAAAAGAAAAAAAAGACTTGAAATATATTCCAATAAAGATTATGTGTACTAGAAATTCAGGGGAAAAAAAGATAAGTATACTGGGAACACAGAAGAATCAATGACTGCAACTACGTGCAGAATCTCATTCTGTCCTTGTGCCTGCCAAAATAAAACAGCTCTCCTCTGATCCAATGGGAATTGCTAATGAATAGGCAGGCAAAAAGCAAATTAACTGATCATAGAAATTTATTGGAAAACATTTAAGTAATTAATGTATAATAAACCAATCAAGAATAAAACCCAAAGAAAATGTTTTTAATACCCTATTGCTCAATGAATTAAAAAACACTAAAATACTTTCATTTCATAGAATGGAATATGTATATCTTCCATTAAAATCTCAAAAATCAGAATATGTCTTACAATTGATGATAAGTCACAGTGCAATTAACAGCAATGTCTTTCTTAGGGGTATATAATATAACGGTGCACCTTACAATTGATATCCTAAACACAATGAATTATGGCACGTGATCTAATGATGGTAAATCTAGTAACCTAATGAATACCAATAGGTCAAGCATTGGATAAAATATTTAGAGACTTTTATTTAATGTTTCCTCCCTCTATTGGTTATAAACTAAAGACACTGAAAAAAGGGCACACCCATATGGTAGCCAGTGCTCTGAGATTCATTCAAGGTAACCTGGAGTAACAAGCATATGGAGACTGCTCTAAGCAACTACATCAAAAGCGGCATCACACCAAGTATAGTTCTTTCATCTTCCTTTAATGATGGGACAGAGAAATTTTGGCAGCCTGTTTCTATATTCCACAGAAGTCCTCTATCACTATACCTGGCATCAAGAGATTTTCTGACATGACCCACAGTCCCTCCCAAGTTTACAGAGTCCTTGCTAGAAGACAAACACTAAAAAACTTGATTAGCATTTGAATTGGGATCTGGGTAGTCTGTACTCAACTTGTATGTGCATATGTATCTATAGATATATAGATACAGATGTGATCTTGGATGCTGGCAGCTATTTGATTTGTGAGTTCAGGAAAAAAGAGGTATGGCATCCTTTTCACTTGTCAGTGCCATCATTTTGACTAGAAATACTCTTTGCAAACACTTTAGATGTGTGTCAATCACACATTTCTTTCAAAATAACTGCGTAAGTGCCACAGGTTTATTTTTGCACATAAAATACTGAAAGAACTCCTCACACTATTTAACGTTGAGTCATGAAAATATACAAGATATAAAGAATATTGTGGCACAGTCAGAAGTGATAGCATAAAAATGCACAAAAATGTAAACCATACTTGTATCCACAATCTGACAAACAAAAAAGGACAATTGCCTTATTATTGAAACATGTTCATTACCAGCTAGAAAATGGGAAAGAAAAATGTAACTTGTCTTTACATTTTATTTTAAAATTGTTTACATGATAGCCATCACATTAACTTTAAATAGTTGATATCCTTTAAAAAATAACAGCCTTATGGTTTTTAAATAATAAAATTTGTCTTCAGATATTGTTATGAACACTTTTTTGTTGTTCTGTCCTTACATACAAAGAAACAGAACTGAAGCTTTTGAGACAAAAATTAGAGGAAGATAAATGAAGAGAAATACTGCTCCTTTTTATGAGCATATGATTTTATTTTATTTTATTTTATGAAAGCATTTAGTAATAACATAAAATTTAAGGGATTTCTTAACTAATTTCAAGTATCCATTTAAGAACAAGTATAACTCCAGAAAAAAAGGGTTTCTCAAAACTTTAACTTGATTTTTTATAAAATTATTTGCATTTATGAAAATGTAATTCTTCAGACTTGAGGTTGTTTTCTGAATTCCGGGAAGTGCAGAGTGTCTCCTGATCCACTTGATTAACCTTTTAAAATATTTCTTTCATAAGTTAGATCAACCAAATAAATTCGTATTTCAAAAGACCTAAGGTTCAGCTAGAAATTTCAAATACACTATTTTAAGTTTTTTCTAAATCTTGCAAAATGAGCTGATGAAAATTCTTAAAAACATAGAAATGTTGACATGATGATTAAAAAGCACACAAAATGTGTAAAGTCATTATCTGACATTTTTTTAAAAGGGGGAAAATGGCAACATTTCAAACCCTGGAAATATAAAAACCCGTTCTTAAGAGGAAATTATAATTTTGACTTTTTAAAGCTCTTTCTCTGATTTTTTTAAACTAACATACCTTGTTTTCACTAGCAAACTTATGCCCTTCTAACTTATTTCCTGTGCAAAAGTATTTTATAATTTTTCTTTGATTCCCAGACATTGGCCATCATTAATTTGGTAGCTCAACTTGATAACTCTAAATGAATAGTTGCATATACAAAACAAATTATTATTTTAGTATGGTATATAAATTCATGGGTTCACCTGATAAGAGCTTTTTCTCCAAAATATTCTCCTGTTTGCAGAGTTTTTATCAGTTGTGGCTGATCGTGGCCCTCTGTACTCTGGGTGACTTTTACCTAAATTATGTCAAACAGTTAAAAAGAGACAGAGTAAAAGAAAGAGAATCTGAGCACATATCCATTTAACCAGACCCTCAAGCTCTCTGAAAACTTGACTAAACAAGGAATACTTCTTCAGTAGTAAGGACAGGCTGGATGAGCTGAGAAATCCTGTGATTTAACACGATCACATGCCTCCACCCCCTGTAAGAGGAAGAGTCTCCATTCAAACCCCACCTCCCAAGGTTAAAAATTTTTGTGTGAATCTAGTGGCTCTTTCCTAGGGATAGTCAAAGCAAATAATAATGGTCTTGAGGGAACTTTGTTTCAAAATGCCAAAGAGAGTTGACAAAGTAATCAAGAACGAGGCCGAGTATCAGGAGTTCTGAATCTGGTGTTTATAATTGACTCACTGAATCCTGTGAATCCTCTAAAACTGAATGGAAAATGTGGATGTGGAGAAGGGTCCACAAACTTTCACAGGCCCCTGGGATCCACAGCCCAGGCAGGTCTAAGAACCCCTGTGGCAGAGCCTAACAAAAACTCCACTGTTCCTTGTTTGTGGTTAGAATTACTCCCATTCAAGAAGGTAACAAGAGTTGCTTCATGTTGAAATTCTAATTAGCATTTATCTAAGTCACAATGAATTAAAAAGCATTTTTAAAAATTGATCAGCCAGAATTCTTTCAAAGCATGGGACCCAGGTTGGACAGAAATGATGAAAGTGGTTCTGAGGGTTGAAGAGTTTCTGAGGCTTGAAACTATTTTGTGAAATTTTTTCCCTCCCTGGGAGCCCACTTCAAATTTCAATCACAAACCAATTTACAAAGGGCAATGCCTGGCTCACTGATGATGAACTTTTCCATGAAAGAGAGAGCATTTTTAAAAACCCGACAGTTTATAGACACAGGTGTACAAGATGACTCTTTCCTTCACTAGTTGACAAATGCTTTCTATCTCTGAGGACCACGGTAAAGAGTCAACATAGGAACAACTGGCAATACGTTATCCACTCAATATCTAGGTAAGAAAGGAGATCGACTGTATAGTGTATAAAATTTTCATCAGCATCTAAATCAACTTAAGTTATTGTGTATGAATTGAAGTCCTGAGCCAAACTGTTCCAAAGCTTGATGCCTGACCATTGCTGACTGTAAGTGCCGAGTTCACTCTCCTCCACCTGCTGCAGTCCTATCTGTTGGATGGTAAGGTGTTCCAGCTCTGACGTTGGACTTTTGGGTTGACTGAAAATCACACACCCATAGCTGGAAGGACCTTAGAAATAACCTAGTCAAAATGGGGTCCAAATAAAATCAAGCAACCTGCTAAGGTCCCTAGGAAGTTAACTTTCTCGGCTGGAACACATCACAAGTTCCTGTGCTCTCAAACCCAGTGCTCAGCCTGAACCCCACAGGACTCCTCTGAGCAGAAACTCTTGTGCCCATTCAATGCAGAGGACCTCTTACGTCGCAAAGCAGAGCAGTGCTGTGTTTGTCGCAAACTGATGTGAAAAGACTTTTTGGTTTACTTTAAATAAACTACAAATAATATTTACCGTTCCTTTGGCTAAAATGAAAAAGGTACTTCCTTCCTCGCCCTCTCGTATAATGTAATCTCCTTTGTCATAGTATTCCTATTGGGATGAAAGGAAAAGAACAGGTTAGATCAGGTGGAAATGTACCGATGAAGACATAAATGAAACAGAACTGCTCTTGTCTTTTAAATGAGCATTCCACACCTATTTAAGTTTTTCTATTGCAACTATAATATTTTTTAAAAATTGCAGTTGTCAACTGTAGAAAAGCAAAGAGATTTTTGCATTATCAACTGCATTTATGTTTATCTCTCACAGGAAAAATATCACCGGGACTACTGAATTTCAGGCGTGGAGACTGAAGACATGAAGAGAAATGAGAGCAGAGCAATAATCACTTTTATACAGGTGAGCTTTCACGTAAATAACCTGAATATAAACTGTTTAGTGATCTGCAACAGATTGAAACTAGGTCTAGAGCTTAGAAAAAGAATAATTATTTAATAAATTGAAAATATCATCCCCAATGGATATTAGGACTATCAGCCTCCATTCTTAATTCCTTGAAGAGCAAAGGCTGGGAAAATCGTACATACACAGTAAGTAGCTCTTTCATATGATTTTTTTCCCAAAGCTTTATCATTATAAAAGACTGACATCAGAATCTTTTACATGTACATTCTGTTCTCCCATGTAGGTTTATCCTCATGAAATCTCAAATTGTTACTCATATCTTTGCTTCCCTCATGTATGTGTATAATCAAAGAATTCTTGGGCAGGGAAAAGCAATTCATCCACCTGCCAGACCAAAAGAGCAATTCAGTCTCTTAGAAAACATTAAAGATGGATTAAACTTTGCTTTAATATGAATTTGTCTCAAAGTCACGGATCTAAAATGGAATTCATAATCATTTATACAAGCAAAAAATGGGCTGCTTTAATTTTTTTAAAAGGCACAATTCATAACATAATAGCTGTCTCTTGTTTTTCCTTTAGATTTGACAGTAATATTCAAACAAAACCGTTGTGTCTACTGTATTTCAATATTTTTGGTCATGTTCTCTTAAAACCTATTTATATTTATGGAATCATCAGCACTCCTAATACTAATAAACATACCTCTGATTCACATAGCACTATGTACATTTTACGATACATTTCAACCTCTCATGGAAGAATGACATCATAGGGGAAAAAGTATTTGAAGTCAAACAGAGCTAGATTCAAATCCTAGTTCTGTAAATTTTACTTCCATCAATCCATAGAGTTCAAATAAGAACATTTACCTTCAAAGATTTAGAGAAGAGAACCACCCTAGTTTTTTATTGCTGCTGAAACAAATAACTGCACACTTAGTGGCTTAAAATAACACCCGCGCATTGTGTCTGTGTCAGAGAACTCAGGCACAGTGTGGCTCATCCGGATTTCTCTATACTGGGACTCTCAAGACTGAACTCAAGGTGTCAGCAGGGCTGTGTTCCTTTCTGGAGGCTCCAGGGAAAAGTCCACTTTCAAGCTTAATCAGGTTGTTGGCAGAATTCAGTTCTTTGTGGTTATAGGATAAGGTCCCACATCCATGCTGGCTGTCATCCCGGAGGCCTCTCTTCATCCAGTTCTTGTACAAAGCCTCCTACATTTCAGAACCAGCAACAGCATGTGGGATTCTTCTTCCACTTGGAATCTCTCTGACTCCCATTTCTGCTGCATCTCTCTGACTCTGAGCAGAGACAATTCTTGGCTTTTAAGGGCTCATGTAATTATATTTGGCTCATCTAGATAATCCAGGATACTCTTCCTATTTCAAGGTCAGGAACCTTAATTACATTGGTAAAGTCCTTTTTGCCATGTAACATAACATCCCCACATTCCAGGGATCAGGGTCTGGACATTTTTTTTGTGGGGGGGGTCCATTCTATCTACCACAATAAGCCAATTAAAGACAACGTCTTTTTTTTTTTGGAAGCATTAAAAGCATCTGAAACATAGTAAAAACTTAATGTCTGCCATATTAAGGAGGATGGCAACAGTTTGCTGAGCTGTTACTTAAATCTCCTGGACCACAATCTCCTTTTCTGTAAAATTAAGATTATATTACCTACCACACTTAATGTTTGAGAACCAGGTGAGATACTGTATCTACCATACCTGGTGGTATGTTTGGTACATATCAGGCACGTGGTGACTATTACTTCCTGTGAAAGAGGCTGTGAGCTGGTCACCAAAGTCTTCCGCAGTAAATTGTACTCCTCAGCCTCCCTGATGAAGTGATGTGTTCCTCCTCAATGCCAGGCCCATGAACCACTTGAGGCATGGGTTTTCCTACTTTTCCCTCAATCATAATGGCATAATGGCATAATGGCATGACCCAGAGAGATCTTGGAAGAGATGAGCTTGGGTTCCTGAATAACTCTTTGGATCCAACAGAGACCATCTTCTTTGGACTGTTAGGTAAGCAAGTGGCAAACTGTTATTTTAGTAGGAAAATAATATTTTGAGTTTTTTGCATCTCAGTTTGCTTACTCCAATTCCTTCATCTTTCTCATTTTAGCTTTATCACAAGCCTTTGATACATACATTTTATAGTGGAGGTGATTATGGCCCTTAGAAGTTAAGGGAATGAGCACCAACTGCAGTCCAGGCATATTCATTGCACAGTGAATGTTCAATCCTTTATTAAAACTGTTGGTGTCATGCCGGATGTTCCTGTTCCAGGTGGCTTTTCAATCTCCCCTGTTACCTCAACCACATGGAGCAGGGGAATGTGAAGAATTTCTGAAGTGCTGTTAGGCTGTTCTTCAGTTATTATAAAGATTTTTGGTGTGCATGGATGCACAGGCTTAATTTCTGTCAGTCAGATTAGTTAAAAGGGGAGAAGCTTGAAAGGGAACACTGAGAAAGAGCTTTGTTGTTTCTTAAGGGACAACCTTCTTAATGGTATTTTTCCCAGGGTTGATTCTTTGTCACCCTGAGGCATGGGAGGAAGATAAATAATACCTCCCAGTGTGTTGACAGTAACTTCATAGATCAGAAAAGGCTGTGGATGTAGGTCAGACCAAAAATATATAGTGGTAAGTACTGGCTATGATGCTAGACTGGCCAGTGTTTGTCAAGTGGGGAGTCCAGGCTGTCTAGCCAGGTGGTCACCAAGACCAAAAAGAGAAATGCAAACAGTGTGGTTATTGTCTCGTGGGTACATTGCAAAGGGGTCGTTAGAGGACCAAGAAGCCATAGACCCTATCCTGTGGAGCAATGGTTTCCAAACATTTTTCACTCTGACCTACAGTAATAAATACATTTTACATGCACACCCAGATACATGCGAGCATGCCCACATAAAACATCTGTAGAAAACTGAAACATATTTTTCAAAACAATATTCATACTTATTACTCTCATATTAAAAAAATGGTTCTCTAAAAAAAAACATGGTTCTCTACATTGGTTTTATGACCTACTGAATTGTGTTCCACAGCCTGAAAAAGATATTTTAAAAGATGATTCTAACTCTTCATCTCAAAAGGCTTATAGATAGCTTTATGAAACCCAAGTCCTTCTAGGCGGAGCTTCCATTTCTTTCTCTGTAACTTTGAGATGCAAATACCTGGTCTTCTTTGCGAACTTTTATCTGGGCCATCTTTTAAAATGTGAGTTTCTGAGAGGTAATTCTTTTTTTTTTTTTTTTGGCTTATAAAAATGGTTATTCAGTTTTTATTCTATAATCTGAGAGGTAATTCTTATCAAAAGAGGAAAAACCTTAGTCATCTAAGCAGGTCAATTTAACTTATTTCAAAAAAAAAGAGAGAAGATTCTACAAGAGTACCTACTAAGTGTATGACAAGAAGAAAAAATAAGGAAATAATTCCAGGACAAACTGAGAGGTAGAGGTAAAAAGAAAACTATACAGGCAGCCACAGCTAAAGATAAAAGAGTTTTTTCACTTAAAAAAAGAGTTCATTCTGTGATAGCCTAGCAAAATGCGTGAGCCTGAGGATCTGTAAAAATATAAATCCAGAAGAAAAACCTAAGGTGTTAAGGACAAAGATGAAGAAGCAAGCCTAGGACCTTCTAAGAGTCTTTAGGGTGTGGTTAGAAACAAGTATTGACAATATGCAATCAGACACACACAGACACACAGACACACAGACACACACACACACACACACACACACACACACCTCATATCCCTACCCCCTCCATGCATCATGTGACTACACACCCACGCTGATTGCTTAAGAAACTCTACACAGGTATTTGGGTTGTTATAAGCAACTTTTTGTTTGCGCAAAGACAGCAGTTAGAACACCTTAGAAATTTTAAAGCAAACACACCTGGATCAGTGGACCCTAACAATTTTTAGTACCTAATTGCTTAATTCCAGGTAAACAGAGCCCACAAAATGAAACCCAATAGTAATCATTCTGACTTGGGTAAGCCAACTAAATAGAGTTCTGCAATTAAAAGACTGAAAGAGCCCACAGGTATGTGGCCCACCGCCCCCTTATTTTTATAGATAAGAAGACCCTAACGCCCACCACAGTTAACTGACAGCTGCTAGTGACAGAGGCTTGACCTCAAACCCTAATCTCTGGACCTTGGACTAGTAAACTTTCTACAACACCTGGCTGCCCCACCTTTAACTCACTGCATCATAAACTGTGGTGAAATCTGTGATTATCTCAACTTTCTCATGGCTCTAGATATAATCATTAAAGTGAGAAAACTCTCTGGCTTATGCTCATGTTGGCAGCAACCATAAGGAAGACTAGACTTTTGAAGCAGTATTAAAACAAGAACAGAAAAATCCTGAATGAAGAAGCAGACTGTGGCAAACTCTAAATACATATATTCTGTTCATAACTTTAAGCTAGTGCTTTTTAAACTTTAATAAGCAAGCATAAGGCTCGTATAGTTAAAAGTGTGGATTTCTGGGCCCCTACTCCACCAGAATCTCTGATTCTGTGTGAGGTGGTACCAAATCTGTCTTTTAAGCAGCACCATGAGTGACCTGAGTAAGGACTAGGACATTCCACATATCACACCCCAACCCACTGCCACCACACTTCCCGTTTCGTGAAAGAGAGCATGTCAGAGTCTGCAGAGTGTCACTGGGTCAAACTCCAAAACTCTGTAACAGAGTTAGGTTATTTTTCCATCAACCACAGTCACATTCCATGCTCCCTGGATTGATCACCATGCATAGGAGCGGCAACTCCTCCCTCTCTGTGCTGCACAATTGCCAGGTGCAGAAGTCACATTATCATTTACATTATCATTAATAATTACACTGCTTTCCAAATGAAGTTCATGAGTTAATGCTTAAAGCACATCACTGAATATGTTGGTACTATTCTCTTTCCTTTTCACATCAGAACATGAGACTCTTACAGGCGATGTCTGCCTCCAGGGCTGAATGTTCTGGGTGATTTGAGCTAAAGCAAAAGATGCTATTGGAACACTACACATTTGGGGCCATTTGGTCTAGGAGTTCAACAGTCAAGGTCTTAACAAACACATATCAGATCAACTGCTTGGTGATGGGAAGTTCTGATCCTCCTTCCCAGTTCCAGCATAAAAATTTAAATACTCCTAAACAGCATGCCAGATTCAGCCTGTTTTCCCCCAACATTATGCAGCCAGTGTGTGGCACAGCTGGTCCTAGACCCAGCGGGCGCTCTGTCATAATGCTGATGCATTAGTGATTTGCTGTTGTCAGGACCCTGTTGATGGGTCATAAGTCCAAACTATGCTGGTAAGTAATGTGCTTTTCTTAGAGCTACATAGATCCCATTTCTCCCCTGTTAATCACTTTTTGCATTTGAAAATTTTCACATGTTACAGAGTCACATTTGTTTGCTAGGTATGAATAAAGAGCTCTTTATAAACTAAGCTGCTGCCTGCAAATGCTGAAATATAATAAAGCCTTTCGAGGGTTCTTTAAGAGATGAGACATTCAAACTCGAATTGTGTGTTAATTAATACTGGATTTGAGTCCCCCAACCCCATCTATATGTTCTGTAGCTGTTGCCTGTGGCTGCTATAAATATGTCTAATTTACCATTTATTTTTAATGATACTAAATTTTAATATTTGCTGTCAGCATGGAATTCCCCTCTGGTGAATCTACTCTATTAGTATTATATTAAAGCCAGATTTTCCTCAGTTAACAAAAAATATAGGGCCTCCCTAGTTTAAAAAAACACTCTCTGAAATTAGGATGAATTATTAATTTGGAACATCTGTGATTGGGTTATGCTGCACTGGGAAAATCCCAGGAGTTCCAGGGCAAGCAGTCCTCTTGAAAATGACTTCATAACTGAACACCCTGGGAACACAAGGCCAGGCACTGCATCATCATGGCCTGTCCTTGATAAACTGCTGGATGGGGTCCAGGAATTGTAAATGGAAACATTACTGGTGTCGCTTACACTTAAAGATTAAATGATCAGTGCTCACTTCTCAACAGATATTAGTTTACATTGTATATTGTGATTGACAGAGGCAAAAATCTGTCAACAATCAGTCTTGCAGGTTTTGGGATTTTGGGGTTGTTTTGTTGTTTTGGTTTTTTTTTTTTTTTTTGGTCTCCGGCTGAGAACAGCTTCATGAAAGCTTAGAGTCTGCATGTGACTCCTACAATATTCCTTATCTTCTTTTAAATTCCAGATAAACCATTTTGGTTTCAATGAAATTGACCCCCAAAAAAGTTAGGGAGAGGTTATTGGCTTTGAATTTTAATCTCTGAAATCTGAGGGTTTTCATATAATGCATATCATTAGACTCCAAGGTACATGTCATAAGAGCATTATTCACAAAAAAACTTGACTAGTATTGGACTAGAACCAACCATCTGGGTGACACTTTATATGAGTTTTGAACACATTCCAACATGCCGTTTTTTCCTAGATATTGAAATAAAGGGCTTATTAAGTGCAGGGGTTTCCCCCCGCCCAATATATTTTCATGGCCTAGAGTTTTCAGGTATGGAGTGTTTCACAGCCAGGATTCAGAAGCCTATCACCGAAAGCCCCAATATACCTTTTCTGGACTCTGTTTCATAATTATGCATCATTGACTTCTTTATACTATAAAAACTCTATAAGGAATGGTGATGTTAGTTGCAGAAAATCAAATGCCTCTTGAGTAAGGCAGCTTAGTTTTATAAAATATACTAAAAAGACTAAAATATGTAAATCAAATGCCACTTTATACATGCAAATCCAATTTTGTTTTATACTTTTCAGAAGAGTCACCTAAAGCTATCCTGGACCCATAATTCAGTGAGAATTAACCTAATGTTGTCTCACAGTAGAAAATGGCTCCTGGTCTCTGTAGACTGGTGATCTATCATCTTTTCCTTTTTGTTCATTTACAGTGCTAATAATAACTAGATTATACAACCTCTTAACAAAATGTATTTTTTGCTTTAAAATTTCTTACCACTTCCAAGCAGTCAATGATCTTGGTTAATTTGTCTTCAGGTAAATTCTTCAGCAAGGATACACTTCAAAATTAAAAAGAAACATTTATCTTCCTAAATTAAACTATAAATATTCACCTATATGTAGATTCAATAATCTTTACATGCATTTTAAAAAATGCACTTTGATTTTTCCAAAGTAAACCTCGAAATATATCACACATAAATAACTAAATTTCAACTATTTTAAAATTATATAAACACATATAATCACAGACATTTATCACAGGCAAATAAATAAAAATAGTAAGATACCATAAAAGGAAAAATCAAGTTTTGTCTGTTTGGGGGAAAAACATTGTATATTTGTTCTTGGTTTTCAAAATGAATCACTTCTGAAAATGCATTTTCCTCCATATCTCAATCTCTCCTTTATTTGCACGGGTGAGAAACTCTGCTTCCAGAAGAGGATCAGATTTTCCTCTCAATCTTTGTAATTAAGTAAAGATTGAATTCAGGGGAGAATGTAGGAATTAGCATGAAAATGATATCTGATTTGTCATATTACGTTGCCTTTTAAAATTAATGATAGCCAGAGGCATGCAATAGAAACATTTTTACAAATAATAGTAATATACAGAAAATGAAATAGAATACAGAAACTTACTTGGGAAAAAATCAGAAATTCCACTAGTATGATGAACCAATCAAGATGATTAAATTGCTCTATTAGAGAAATTTCTCCTCTACCCATTTTTACTCAGGACTGTTGATAAAATTTCTATAAAATAAATGTCTTTCTTACCATCTCAAATTTGATATCCCTAAGGAAAAAAAGATGGTACTCAAAAATACATGATTGGACCTGATTTTTGAAAAAAGAGCTTTAGATTACCCCTTGCACGTGTGCACGGAGAGGCACATGGCCAGGGGACATGCATAAGAAGGTTTGCACCAGGATCGTTTGTAATTGCCAAACACTGGAACAACACCCAGTAAGAGCACAGATAAGTGCCTAATGGTAGAATTACGTATCAGAACTCTACAACAGGAGAAATGACTGAACTAATCAAATGAGTAAATCTTAGAAAAAAATGTTGAGTTGTAAAAATAACACCTTTTTTTTATGAAATGCAAAAATAGGCTACATCAAGCTATCGGCAAAATAATAAAGAATCCCAAGGGAATGATTAGTCCTAAACTTCAGAACATAGGCAACCCCAAAAAGAGGTGGATAGGAGGCTGGTAAATGACATGAGGGAGCACATGAGAACAACAACATCACTAACTTCCTCCTTCTGGGGTCAGGCAGTAGCTTGATGGTGCTCATTTTGTTAAGATGTTTTATAAATTATATATGTACTATGTATTTTTTAGATACATCGCATGCTTCATAATAAAAAGATGTAAATGAAAAAAGAAAGCGCTTACTATGTATTATGAGAGAAAGAGAAATGGACTTCTCTAATATGTCTCCTTATTGAGGAAAGGGTAAAAATGTAACTAGAAGATGTCATTGATTAACACACGCCCATCATGAAAGTTCTACTTCTGCTCCACACGGGGATCTCCAATGTCAGTGAAAATTCCCTCTGTAAACCAATACCTTTGGGGATTGGTGAGGAAATTGAAGTGAGAAAAAATATTTTGTCTGTCTCCCTTCCATAAATGCAAAGATCAGGTTTATCTTGATCACCACTGAATCTACCATGTTTAGGGTGTGGCAATAAGTATGTGCTGAATAAATGAATGAATGAGATAACAGAAGGAAGGAAAGAAAGAAAAAAGAAAGGAGGGAATAGGTACTAGTGAATTCACTAAGCCGGGATATACTAGACCGCAAGGTAATGAACTGCTATGCCTAGTGGTTCAGGTTTAATCTCAGATACTCAAATGCAACCCACAAGCACTGGTTTATTTACTTACCCTCCCCCCTTTTTTTGCCCTTGCGTAGGTGTGGTTATTAGCTTTAAATGCTGACCTGTGTTGCTCAGTTGTTGAATTTTGAGATCACTTATACAAAGGCATTGGTTGGCATAAAGGTAAGGCACCCACGTGTCATTATCGCAGCTCTCTGCCAGGAGCCACTATTGACTCCGGGAGAGGAAATCAGCAAGATTCTGAGTGAGAAACCCTCACACCTTCAATGTCCTACTGATTAACAATGTGTTCATGCAATATTTATTGAGCTCTCACTACGTGCAGGGCTCTGTATAGCCCTAAAATCATTGGTTCTGCAGACTATATGTGCAAGATAAAATCAATATACTTAAAAAGAACTTAGACTGTATTTTTACCAGACATTTTATTACAGTATGCACTGCAGCTTTGGAGACCGTAGAAACTGCCATACAAACACACACACACACACACACACACACACACACACACACACACACCCCACCCACCCACCACCCAGGGAAATAGTTTAAATGAGAAACTTATTTTTCCAAAAATTGTTTAATGTGTAACTGACTTTTTCAGTTACATACATATTTCTTTCTCTATAATTTTATGCATCCAAATAGTAGGAGGTATGGAACAGTTCACCAAATGAGTATGATGAGCATGTTCCCAGAATCCATGCCATCATGGCAAGCAGTGTAACATTCTTGGCATGTTAATTTGCTACAAATACAGTAATCCAAAAGATGGTGCAGTTATGCGGGTGAGAAAAAGAATGCCTCTGGTAAAGCAAGCAAGAATAGTAAAGTAAACTAATTTCAATATTATTCTAAGCAAAGCATTATGAGAAAGATTATCTTTTGCTATTCTCTTCCAAATTACATAATATCTTACAAAGTCAACTTTGAGCAACCCAGGTGAATATTTTAGGATTTTTTTTTTTTTTTTGCAGTTTTCTAGACAACACACAGTGATTTCATCTATACAAGGGCAAATTAGCAGGAGGAATAAATCAAGAGTCAGTGCTTGAAGCTAATGGGAATTAAATATTATATAGAGTGGCACTTACTGCCCGGAAATATTTCTGGTTGAGTCATATGGAAAACGCTTAAGTAAGAGAAGCTATTGTGAAATAATTATTGTGATAAAGCCAACACATCCACAAAATTGCCACACCATCTTCTGCTTTTGCCACAAATGTGTTGTTCTTACCTTCTGAGGAAGTTTCTGTACTGTTCATCTCTAGCTTGAGCTGTCCTTCTCATTATATTCTGGAACACCTCTCGATCTAGTGCCCACGTTTTCACATTGGTAATAGCTTTAGGAAAAAAAATCAAAAAGTAATAAAATATTATTTAGCCCCACATTAAAAAAGCACTCCAAAATGTTAATCAATAAATTTGTGTATGCTCTCATAAAAGGATATTTCTTGGAAAATGCATTATTTACACATGCTAATGGAAGGAAGCAGAGATATAAATAGTGGGTAATTTTATAAAATCATTTTTGGCTTTCATATGAACAGTGGTTTGGAAGTCAGTAGCAAAAGATTTGCTTTCTAATGATGTTTTGCTAAAGATGACATTAAAATTAGTTTGCAATTCCCAATTAAGCACTATATCATCAGGATGTATTTCAGATTTGTGCTGTGATACAAGAGAAAGCCAGTTGCTAATCCAGAGTGAAGACAAGCTCACAAGCAGATAATTGAATGTTAAAAATCTCTGGGTGTACGAGTGTGTTTTTATGTCTTTTTCTGTTGTTTAGACATTGTTGTTAAAGAGAGCCAATATATTTTAAGAATCTCTATGGTTACTTTTTTTTTTTTACAGGAAAGACATTAAAAGCAAGAACAAAATCTAAACAGGAAGAGGAGCAGAAGTACCAGCTCTAAAAAATCTATATGAAGTTATGGTTGTAAGATTATTTTTAAAAGGAATAATGAAAACCTACAAAATAGATAAAAATCCAAAGCTCTGGTTTACTAAACTTTAGACGGAATGGGGGAATCATCTTGACATTCTTGTTAAAAACATATTGCCAGAGATTCTGATTCAGGTTTGGAATGAAGCCCTGAATCTGTGTTTTTATCAAATACTGTAGCAATGCTGAGACATGTAACCCAGTTTCAAACACTGAGAAACAGCACATCGAAGTAATTCAGAAGGAAACCCAAGCTGCATAAAGTCAAAACAGGAAACTTAAAGAGGAGCAATTAAACTAATTTCAAAAGTCATCCACGAAAATCCTCATTAATTAATTCACATCCCTCTTGATATTTATACATTTTCAATGGTTTAATTTTTATGGTTTGTAATATGATTGAAATCTCATAGATAATGTAAAGCAAACATGCTAAATGAGCCCAAGGCAGATGTCTACATGGCAAAAAATGTGAAGTGACAATTAAAACAAATATTGGAATAATTCAGATGAAAGCCATGTTCATATTTTACATAAAGTTATCTAATGGGAAAGTTCTTTAAAATTTGAATTATTTAAACAAGTGCTTCAACAGAAATCTTTTTATGAGCAAAGCATTTCTATTAATAAGAGTATAGGGTCACAACAGAAAAGACTAAATCAGGATGTAATAATGACTCAACCAGATTATCTTTAACATTGTATAACAATTCAAAGCTACAACATTTCATATCCTGTTACCTTTCACAGAGGCAGTCCTTGTACAGTTGTATAAAATGGCTAGTTCTCCAAACGTGGTCCACATAGGAATGGATGATAGCAATTTCTCTCCTTGAGACACCTCTACTCGGCCCTCTATCAGGAAGAATTATAAAAAAGTCAAAATCTGCTTGGATTCCATAATTTAAAAAAAAAAAAAAAACATTAGAAAGTACACAAAGTGTAAAGTTATCTCATGACTCTCCATATAATAAAGTGGTTAAGAATGTAGACTGAAATCAGCTCTACCACTTACTCTTGAAAGAATTATTCTTTCTCCTTTAGGTTCCTTGTCCATAATGGGGATAATAATAATGACTTCATGCATTTGTTGTGCGATTTAAATAACAATATAGATAGAACATAGAACAATGACTCACGCATAGTAAATGCTGTGTAAGTGCTAGTTATTGTGAATAGCATCACTGTTACATGGATGGCAAGTATTTTATTTAAAACTCATTCTAATCCATGAAAAAAATGTATCTTGTATAAAAAAACCACATATTACTGTCTTGGAAAAAATGTCTTGGAAACACATGACAGCTGTTTACACTGTCATAATTGCAAAGTGTACTGGCCCTGGAGTTAGACTGCCTGGTTCTGACTAGTCATTGGCTCTGTGTCCTTGGGTAAGTCCCTTTACTAGGCCTCAGTAATTGTCTAACCTCTTATCCAGTGAAATGAATTAATAAACGGAAGTCACTGAGAAGAGTGCTTGAAAAAGACCACAGACTGGGAGAAAAAATTTTTGCAAAAGACACATCTGATAAAGGAATGTTGTACAAAATATGCAAAGAACTCTTAAAACTCAACACTGAGAAAACAAATAATCTAGTTCAAAAATGGGCCAAACACCTTGACATTCACCAAAGAAGATACATAGATTGTAAAAGCTGACCCACATCAAATGTAATCAGGGAAAAGCAAATTAAAATAACAACGAGATACCACTACACATCTATTTATTGGAATGGCCAAAATCAGAAAAATGACAACACCAAATGTTGACAAGGATGTCAAACAGCAGGAACCCTCATTCATTGTTGGTGAGACTGAAAAATGGTACAGCCACTTTGGAAGACAGTTTGGTGGTTTCTTGCAAAACTAAACATACTTTTACCATGCAATCCAGCTATCACGCTCCTTGGTATCGACTTAAAAGAACTGAATACTTATGTCCACCAAAAACCTGTATACAGATTTTTATGGCAGCTTTATTCTTAATTGCCAAAACTTGGAAGCAACCAATATGTCCTCCAGTGAGTGAATGAATAAACAAACTGTGGTACATCCAGACAATGAAATATTATTCAGTGCTAAAACAAAATGAGCTATCATGCCATGAAAAGACATAGAGGAATCTTAAATGCGTATTACTAAGTGAAAGCAATCAATTGCAACTGTATGACATTCTGGAAAAGGGAAAACTATGGGGGAAATTAAAAGATCAGTGGTATCAGGGCTTGGATGAGGGGAAATGAATAAGCAGACAACAGAGGGTTTTTAAGGTGGCAAAAATGCTCTGTACAATATTAGAATGAACAATACATGCCATTTTACATCTGTCTAAACCCATAAAATAAACAACACCAACAGTGAACCCTCAAGTAAACTATGAACTTCAGATGATTATGACATATTAATATAGCTCCATCCTTAGAACAAAAATTAAATAAAAATAATTTTTTTTTAATGTATCACTCTGGTAAGTACTGTTGATAATGGGAGAGGCTATGGATGTGTAAGGTCAGGGGACATTCGGGTAATCTCTATGATCTCCCTCTTAATTTTGTTATAAAATGGAAAAGACGCTAAAAAATAAAGTCTTATAAGAAAATAAGAAAGTGTTTGAAACTAATCTTTATTTAGGCAAAAGTTGGAGGAAGGGAGAGCAGGACTTCAGGTAACTCCTCAAGATTCTTTTTTTTATTTTTTCTATTTTTTTTTTGCCCAGTGGATTCTAGTCTCCTTTCCCTTTGAACAAATGCAAATAAAACCTTACCTAACAAAAAAATATGCAAAACAAAACAAAAAAACCCCTATATTCTTCTTCTAATTCACTACTAAGTAGCTCTGGATCGTCTTTGACCACCTATTCACTCAACAAATCTGATGCGGGTACTTAGGTTCTACCAGGAACTAATCCTGGTGCCAGTGATGGCGTGGACAAAACAGAAAAGATACTGATTCTGACAGAGTTTACATTCTAGTAATAAATAAATTCTGTTTTGGCTCCAAATCCTACAAATTAGCTATGAAAAATTTAATAATTTCTCATTACAACTAAATTCTATTCCACTGAAACCACTTAATGGTACTGTCAAGTTGGTAGCATAGGTCTTAATGCATTTCAATTATTTTTCTAATTGGTTATGTCTCATTGGACTTGAGCAATACTGAAGATATATGGAATATCAAAAGTTTTTGCTAAGTATAATTTACCATTAGCTATTCATGCTATGTTTTATAGAGGGGAGATTTTTAATTAACAAATTAACTTGCTCAATCAATTAAATCACACAACTCAGTCCTTAGATAACATATAATTTATTCAAATAAGAAACTGTCCAATTTTCATTTCCATGTGAGCTAGAGTCCTGGTTTGAATGGCTGTACTGATGCTGCCTTCTGTTCAAACTCCTCTCCCCCCAAGCCTGTCAGCTGAGTTACTGGCAAGGAGCAAGTTAGGCTGACATGAGTTTCTCATTCTTTTCTAGTAGGTTCCACAAATATTTGTTGACTTAATGACCTATCTTCTCTTGCCAGAATGTTTTAGTATTGCTTAAGTAGAAGTGAAATGGCCAAGAAAAAAATTGAAAGACAGAAAAATTACCCCAGATTACCTGTCCTCAAAAACTTGAAGGCTGCATAAATTAAGGTTATAATTCACTTTTTGTGTGAAATAATTACTTGGGAATGACTGTAGAATTTTAAGAATGTCTATACACATATACATGGCAAATAATAAATCAATAATTTTGAGACTGGATTGTTTAAAGAATCAAAGTATATGAAAACAATCTTCTACATACTGTAAGTAGAATAATACATGTTTATTAATTTTTTTAGATAGGCAACTTCTGCCCCACACTTAAGACCCCAAGTAAACAAGAATTGTAAAAGCATTGCCTAAGAAGTGGCAAGATCACTGAATTAGCACTTGTTCACTAGAAATACCAAACTTAGAGACTAACTGTAAAAAGTGACTTAGTGAAAACTTACCATCATCTATCACATTAATGTTAAATTTTATTGGTCTGTAATTTTAGTTAATATTCAGCTTATACATTTATTTTGGTATTTTTGTTGTTTTAAAGATATGTCCAAACATGCTGCTATTATGTGTGTATAAGTTTAAGTGAGGCTATAATATAAGTAATTTTAAAATAAAAAAAAATTATAAGCATTGCTTAGATTGCCATGAACTATAATGTAAAATAGAAGACCACAGCACATCTTAGGCCACTATTCCATCTGAGTAAGCCAATTTGACTTCTTTCCCTAAAACTCAAAAAGTTGGGGCAATTCAGAATTTGACAGGGCATTCAATAGCCACAGGCCCTATTCAGATAACTTCTTGCTTCTATATCTAAAATAACAACAAAAAAAGTTTTTGTGTGCCACTACAAGACTTACGCATTTGATACGCATTTGAGAAATAAATCCTTTGCCTATCTAACCATTAAATTTGTCCCAGCATGTTAAGCATATTCAAATGACCATACGTAAAGCAAACCACGAAAATGGCTCTAAAAATACCAGTTTTAATTTTAAGGCATTCCATTTGACTTGTTGGTTAAAGTGTACCCAAATTATCTTTTAAATTATGGTATATAGCCAAAACATGTTACAACACCAATAATAATAATAATAATAATAATAATAATTGATTTCTTTTTCCTGGTACAACCAGCTAAAAATGTCAACATAAGCAAAGTATTTTTTTAATGGAAACAGCTTTTTGTAGTTGTTGAGTGAGTGTCGCTGTGACTAAAAGTTTGGACCTGAGTCAGATGGCCGAAGTGCACGTCCTACCTCCACCACTTACTGTGTGGCCCTGTATAAGTTATTTAACTTCTCTGTGACACAGTCCACATTAGTAACACAGAGATACAGCATTTGCCTAACAAATGAGGTTTCCCTCTTAAGTGCTCAACAGTATGCTTGACATGTAGAAAGCACTAAGTAAATATTATCATCACCATGATTAGATCAACAATGTTACCATTTCATAAACTCAATCTGTTACATTTCCTGCAAACGCAGAAAATTATTTTTCATTTTTATACATTTTTGCAAAAATCATAAGACAATAGGCAAAATATGTGTTATATGATAACTGGAAAAATTTGAAACCCACCTGCCAGCACAAAGATATGGTTTCCTGGCTCTCCTTGCTTAATAATGTAACTCCCTTGCTGGTAGTTTCTTCCATACATGCATTCCACCATGTCTTTGATCTGCTGAGGATCCAGTCTCTTCAGAAATTGATTTTTATTAAGAGCCTCTGTAATGAGCTTCTTCTCACTGGTGTAATGGAAAAGAGATGTTAGGTATGATGAATGAAAATCATGTTTTGCCATTTAGATACACTTCATTTTGAACATTGATACAACTACCTATGTACTTAACAACTTTTCCATCCGGACAAATTTTTTTTATAAGTCCACCAACACTTGATCCTTATAACTACTATTATTTACATGTAAAAACCTTTGAAAATATGTTTGAATATTTTTCTGGTAATCATTATCACACCAAAGTTTATTATCACTCCTAATTGCCTTCGTTGCAAATGTAGCATCTCTCAAGATTCCTAGATGCACTACTAATGGACACATGGCTTTTGGATGGAAAGCAAATCTGGTTGGTAGATAAAATGTGTATTTAAAGGACTACAACACAGTTTATTCACTGACGTATGTAGGTATGCCTAGTGTCTATGGTACCAGTTATTTTATACCTTATTTAATGCTTACCACTATCCTGTGAGATAATTACTATTCCTATTTTATGGATAAGTAGACTAAGAGGTAAGAGCCAACTTATTCTCTCTAGGATTTAAATCTAGGTCCCTGAGTCTGATGCCTGAGCTGAGTGCATTCCATCCATTGGTTCTTCTGAGCTGGAGAAGTCAGCTCCCTTGGGACTTGTTAGGTTTGATCAGACATAAAGGGTGATGGTGGTATCCTGGGTTTGCCTAGGTTTTGCCTCTTAGTGTGTCTAGACTAGACACCTTATGTTTTCAATCTCACAGCCTTTTAATTCCCCAAATCCAAGGCCCCCTAGCTGACAATCCTAGAACACTCTACTTTTTCCATAGAAAATAAGTAGCTATAAATAGCTACCCAGTCTTCATAACCATAAATTTAAAATGTTTTCATTAACATATTTTATATGTAGACATCACAAATCGATAAACTAAAAAAAACATTGCCTTGTGGGCTAAGAATCTTTGCACAAAACATTTGTTCTCACTCAAACTCAGTGTGATTCTTTTTTTTAAAAAATAGGGTATTTTTAATGTACTTTTCATTCAAACTCTGTCCCACCACTAGCTTTATTGTTTGAAAACTTATCATCTTTTTCCTCACAGCAAGTTCTCCAACACAAGGTAAAATATCATGGAAACTGACACTTCCTTCATGACCACATCCTTCAGATCATCAGGCTTCCTGAAGGAACAGAATAAAGTCCTGTGCAGAAATCTTCCACACAGCGATTCCATCATCCTCAGAGCCACCCTGACTCTTTGAGTACCTTGAGAACTTTCCTCCTCCTTCATCTAATCTATCACCAAATCTTGTCAATTCTCTTTACAGATATCACTTTTATCCATTTGGTTTCCATTTTTAAGGATGTCACCATAGTAACTCACCCCCCCCCCCCAAAAAAAAATCTTAGGTCTGGACAACCTGAACAGCCTTTTTTTTTTTTTATTTCAACCTTTAGCTGCATTTCCCTACCCACCATCCCATACCACGGTATCATTAATCTTGCCAAAAAACTGACTTCATCCTGATCTTCCTTCATCCACTAAAACCAATTAATTCGATTAATAAATAATGAGAAAGTACTTTTGCTAGATGTTCCTACTGCGAGTTGGAGAAATGTGCATACCCCCAAAACCTCAGCTTCTGTGGGCCTTTCATGCCAGGTATCATGCCAGTGAATGTTCCCTCAGTGCCCACATATCCCAGTTTTGGAATTTCATGATGCATACTTTTAAGGTTTGAAGAAATCTTGCAGTAAAAAAAAAATCTGTTTAAACCAATGTTTCCCAAAGCTCAATGTCTTTTTTATTTCTTTTTTTTTTTTACTTGACTTCTATTAACATTCCATAGAAGTACAGCTGACCCTTGAACAACATGGACATGAACGGCATGGGTCCACTTATATGCAGATTTTTTCAATAAATACTGTAAATACATTTTCTCTTCTTTATGATTTTTCTTAATATTTTCTTTTCTCTAGCTTACTTTATAGTAACGACACAGTATGCAATACATACATAAAATCTATGTATCCACTGTTTATGCTATCAGTAAGGCTTCTAGTCAACAGTAGGCTACTAGTAAAGTTTTAGGAGAGTCAAATGTTATATTCTGATTCTTGACCGTGCAGGGGAGTCGGTGCCCCTAACCCCTGTGCTGATCAAGGGTTGACTGTATTGTGAGAACCAATTTGTCCATAGGAATACCAACATCCCAGTGTGGTATTCCCCATTTCCCACCACATGGCTCCACTATATCCATCTACTTCTTAGTCATAAAAAATCCTTTGTCATAGACAAGTTGGTGTCCTCACTGTCTCCTCTGCTGGTCACCTTTACCTTCAGGTTTAGCACATGTTTTCTCATCTAACTTAATTTCTTCTCCCCTCAACCGATCAAAATCTTACACATCTAGCAAGAAGCCCCTTATGTTCTAATTAATCCCGCCTGAACACTGTATTTCACACAATCTTTTTATTCTATTCTAAACTCCTAGAGTACTTGTATTCATATCCATTCAATTTAACAATTTTGCCAAGCATTTATTTAGGACATAAAAATTAATTAAGCATGGCCCATGGCTTCAAAGAGTTCCCAGATCCTTTTAACTTAGCTTAGTGTATAAATATACTGTAATATTCTACTATTAGAAAAAAGTTATCTTTATGAGTGTTTCTCCAAATTAGATGATAAATTCTTAGAGCAGTGTGTCTTTGTAGTGAATTTTCTATTTAAGAAGCAGCACACAGAAATGATTAAGAGTATGAACTTTGCAACTCCTCCTAAAACTGTGACAGGCCAGCTAATATAAGCAAACTCTCTCTGCTCACACAAAACAACTACAAAAGCCGATTTAAACATACATTAACACATTTGTTTAAAGGTATAAAAGACCTATCAACATAGCAACAACTTCATGAGCCATGACCAAAAAGCGAACAAGAGCTTGACCTCCACCTCCACTTTTCCCTTCAGAGCATTTGATAATTTGTAGGCAGCACTAAGCAGAGTTTTGCCCAAAGGATGTGGAAGACAAAGGTAGCGTTCAAAACACATCATGTTGGAGAAATCCCAGTAAATCTCCAGGATTTTAGGTAGAACATAAAGGGCTGCATGAAATGTAAAAGTAGACTAACCAAAACCAGGCTACTCTCAAAAAGACTGAAAACCAACTTTGAAACAACAAATGCCTGTTTTGATTAAGTAATTTACCTTTAGCCTAACTGCCTGCCAGAAACAAAGGTAAATGTTTTCTCTAGGATTCTCACAAAATCTAAGACAAATTTTCTCTACAGTTTTTCTATAAGGAATATCTGGCATGACATCAAAGACTACGAGGCATACCAGGAAAAAGCAAGAGAAAAAAATGAAGAGCAAGAGAGAAAAAAAAAAAAGAAAGAAAGAAAATAGAAACAGAACCATAGTAGATCAAAATATGATAGATACCTAACACAGGTATTAATGTAACTGTAGTTAATATGTTTAAGGAAATTATGGAAAAAAATGGAGAAGGTCAGCTGAGAGCACAAATATGTCTTAAAAATCAAAATAGAGATTCTAGAATTGAAACATAACATCTGAAGCTTGGTACTCAACTATGGGCTTAAAGTCTATTAAGAAACTGGAAGAAGATTAGAAACTGAATATGTATAAGCAAATAGAATATATCTAGATCGAATATTGGAGAGAATCTGGGATGGAAAGTAGAGCAACAACAACAAAAACAAAACAAAACAGGAGACATACGTAATAGAGAAGCTGAACATACATGTAACTGAGCCCCCAATGAAAGGGAAAAAAATTGGCCTGAAGCAATATATGAAGATATCATATTCAAGAACTTTCCTAAATCAATGGAAATACTTCAAGCCACAGACAATATGAATAACAAACTCCAAACAAAACGTACACACAGAAAACCGTATCTAATCCCATCAGAGCCAAGTTACTGAAAACCAAATACAAAGACGAAAATTTATAAAAACATTTGGAGAAAAGAGATACATTACCTTCAAATGACCAGCACAAACATATGTGTATATGGGGAAAAGCAGACATCACTTGAAAATAACAAACTTTAAAAAGTGCTAGCTCTTGCTAATTATCAAGAAAAAGCAAACCAAAACCATGAGTTAACCCAACATACCCACCAGAACAGCGAAAAGAGAAAGACTGAAAATGCCAAATACCAGCAACAATGTGGAGTAACTTAATACTCATACCTTGCTGGTGAAGGTATCTATTTTGTTCAACCATTTTGGAAAACTATTTGGCAATTTATATTAAATGTGACAACCCTATGGTGACTGTCAGAGCGAAGGAGGAGCAGGGAGGGAGAAGAGGGTAAAGGGGGGATAAATCGTGATGGAAGGAGATTTGACTTGGGGTGGTGGACACACCATACAACATACAGATCATGTACTGTAGTGTTGTATACCTGAGATATAATTTTATTAGCCAATGTTACCCCACTAAATTAAGTTAAAGAATGTACTACCCAGTAATTCCACCATAGGTATAAACCCATCATAAATCATAGTAATGTACCAAAAGACATGTGCAAACTGTTCATGGAAGCTTTATTCAAAATTGCTAAGCACTGGAATCAACCAAATGCCCATCAATAGCTGTAAATGAATAAATTGTGGTATAGTCATGCAACAAACATTACATAACAGTAATAATTAATGAGCCACTGCTATGTACGATAATGTAAGGGAACCTTACTATATAAACAAAAGAAGCCAAACTCTGTGGAGTACATACTTAATAATTCCATTAAAATAAAGTTCAAAAATAGGCCAAAAGTTATCTATGATAATACAGGAATGACAGTGGCTTCCTCTGAGGTAGACAATGGGCAGGATTTGGAAGGGAGCAGAAGGGGCTTCTGAGGTGCTGGTAATGTTCCACTTCCTGACCTGTTTGGTTGGATACATGGATGTGTTCACGCCATGATTTGTGTACTTCAATAAAAATTTCACTTAAAAAATAAAATATGTGTATAGCTTTAGAGTTGGAAAACCCTAGGTTA